TGTGAATTTCTAATATGTTCCCAAATTTAAAATCCAAGGCTGTGTATTAGGAATCTGACTTAAGGAAGAGATCTCTTTGCAAACAAACAAACATACAATGTGTCATCATCATAGAAAATGGCTAAAAAGAAACAAAAGTAATGTCCAGAGAAAATGATGATTGTTTAAAGAAAATAAAGAGGAAAGGAGAGCAAACCTAACGTCATCTAGGGATAAGTGAATGAGGTCATGGGTTTCTGTGCAGTGACCCTCAAGTGTGAAATGCTAGAGTCTACTCGGCAGTCCTCTCGGAGAATGCTGGTAGGGGAGGGTGGGGAACAGCAATCTCCAGAGTTCAGTCTGCCCTCTCCTACCCACTTTCTTGGATGAGGCCAAAAAGGAAAACCAGCGATCTAGTGGCAAACACGACTATGTCCTCCTCATCACCCCCTCCCCCCACCCCCGCTAGCAGAACCAAGTGTTCTCACATCATTTAGGAAGTTGTGGCACTGAACAGAGTTAAATAATACTTTCTAATCAAGGACTTCATCCGCTTCTATCACGGCACCATACATTAATTTTAAAAAGCCTGAGCAAATGGCCGATTGTAGATCTGGGCGAGGGCACGTACACAATAGACCTGGGCATCTTCTATGTCAGAAAACGAGGTGGGAGACCTGCAGATGGTGTAATGGTTACATCACTGGACTTCCACGTAGCTGACCAGGTTCAAGTCCCAGACCCAGTGGCTTAAAATTCATGCCAAGCACATGTGCCCAAGATCCCCAGAGAAGAATGGAGAAGGGATTGCAACCTGGCCATTCCCCTTGGGGGGTGATTTCTCACTTTCTGTTTTTCTCTCTGGTTAGTACATGCACCCTATAGCAAAAATCTCTCCCCTCCCCTCCACAAAAAGAAGGAGAAGGAGAAGGAGAAGGAGAAGGAGAAGGAGGAGAAGGAGAAGGAGGAGAAGAAGGAGAAGGAGAAGAAGAAGAAGAAGAAGAAGAACAAGAAGAAGAAAAAGACAGCAAGGTGGTCAAATACCAATGGGACTGGGTACAAGGGCAGAGAAATTGGCTGAACAGATTCCCACTGACCAAAATTGGCACAATCTGACCATCAAAAGGAGTAATAATTGCAACTGACTAGGAAGACTAAATAAATAAAACCCACAAATAATATATATACAAAAACCCTAAATAAAGAAAAGAGTCAAAGTACCCACCATCTCAGGTGTTTATTTTATTTATTTTCAATATTCTTTGCCTTTCTCTTTTAATCCTTCCTGCTCCAATTCTCAAAAAATTATTCAGAAAACCCAGTAATTATACAAAAGGCAGCTCAAAGAGCCAAAGCAAGCCAGCCCAAGAGTAGCAGGCTCCCTCCCACAAGTGCCAAAGTCTGGATGCTGGGGTCTCCACTCAGAGACTGGTAGTAAAAGCTGGTGTAGAATAAGGTGGTTCCCGAGGCTAGCAGGAAACCGGCCCAGAGGGGCTTTCTGCAGTGGGGCACCCCCAATAACGCCAGGCTGTGAAAGAAATGGTGCTTGTTGGCTTTTTCAAAGAGCTCCTTCCTGTAAGCATCTGGAAATTGAGCGCTGTGGGCCCCGTAGGTTGCCAAGCCTAACGCCCCAGCTCCGGACAAGGAACCCAAGCGGCGGAAAGCAGACCGTAGCCCGGCCATGGCTGTAGATGGTCACGTGCCGGGCGAACACTGTCCAGACCACCCAAGAAGCCCAATGTTTATTTTGAAAAGCAATAAAAAGATCTTAAGTGGTGATTTATTATGATGTCTACAACAAATGGTTCAAAAAATGTGCAAGTATAAAAGAAAATACAGCAAATAGCAAATAACTACAAAATCTAGGTGATACAATTCTCTCAACCCATCTATACACTCAAATATTTTTTGAGATTTTTGCCACAGTGTGTATTCACTTAAAATAAATTCCTTATAGCTAATATTTTATTTTTAATATTGTACATTTTTTAAAAAAGATTTAGTTATTAGTATTTTTCTATAGGGCACATGTGCTCATCAAAGAGAGACAAGAGAGAGTGAGCAAGCTGCCAGGTCAGGATCTATGGTACACACATGAGCACCTACCTGCTATGTTCTCAGGGTGACCTAAAATCTCAACCCTTCATGGGCCAGGTGGCTTCCAGGACTGCAGTTTAGTTAGTTACTGACTACCTCGCCAAGGCTGAGTCATAACCCTTAGTATTTCCATAAAAATATGCAAGGGGTGGGGCCAGCAGGTGGTGGTTAAGGTGCTGGACTCCCACATGGCCAACCACAGTCTGAATCCCCGACCTCATGGTTTGCTTTTCACTTTCTCTCTCTGGTAAGTGCAGGCATCCTATGGCAAATTATAAAATAATACTAATGATAAATAAAATGAATCTTGAAAAAAAAATAAGGATCTACTGGGTCAATGGAAAAGTCATGACACATTTTTACATAGAAAAATACATCATGACTTTTCCAGTGACTCAATAATAATATAGTACCTTTAATACACAGACAAATACATACAGCTTCATACATTTGGGTTTAATAATAACCAGTTAGAACCTACATGTTCACACAAAAGAGGTTATAAATGCTTATTTAACATCATTCGTATCTTGAGTTAGTTTAGTAAAAGGTGTATACATACTTGATATCTTCTGAGTGAAGGTAAAGGTTACCACATGCTCTTCCATGACATTCTCTAAATGTTGTTTTTCTTCTTGTAGTGCCATTCCAATTAAATGTAACACCTCAAATAAAATGTTTTATAACTTTTAGTTAAAAAAAGTATGTTTTTATAAAAATAACCCAAAATAGAACTGACTACTGAAAAAAGAGAAACTATTAAAGACTAAATGCAATAAAAAATTCAAAGTACTGATTTTTACTAGATTCAAAGAATGAAGTACACTTTCTAATTAATTCTTGGCAAAGAAAATACAATTTTCCATTTCAGTGAGGAAGAAATTTCAATGGCAAATTCTTAGGGAAGGGGCCAGCAGGTGGTATGGTGGTTAAGATGCTGGACTCCCACATGGCTGAGCAAGGTTCAAATCTTGGACCCGGCAGCTCGCTTTCTTACTTTCCCTTCCTCTCTCTTTCTCTGGTCAAATTGAATAATAATAATAAATAAAATAAATAATTCTTTAAAAAAATTCTTAGGGTAAGCTAAAATCGTCACCAGGTATAACTAGCAACACATATAATTTTCAGTTATGTTCCCTATCTACACTATAGTCTTACAAAAATCTCTATGAATCAGTGGCCAAATAATTACAGAGCTGAAAGCACCTATCATGTAATTACTCAGTCTATAATAGTACCTAGTTTAATTTCTCTTTCTAAGGACTAAATCTTAATCACTTGAGAAAGAGACATTACTTTTATCTTTAATGCCACAAAAGTTTCTAAAGATGTTTATGGCTCTTCAGAACTCTTACAAAAAATCCCTTGTCAGACTTCTAAGAAAATACATAACTACACTGAACGTATCTGAATTTGCACCGCTCTTGGCCTGCCGCCCAATCTTTGGAGGAGATATGCGTGTGCTTGTCTCTGTATCTTTCCCTCCGTGTAGGGCTGCTCTGGCTGTCAGACCTGGAAGAACTAGGTTAGCCCAGATGACAGAAAGCAGGTGTATACACCAGGGAAACACCGTCCACTCTCTCCTGCCACACTGTCCATGAACCTGCTGCTCACACAGTACTGACAGTCTATTCCACAGCTTTATGCTTTTACATTTTAAATATGCTTATAAATGGGAGGGGGGTGTAAACATATACACACCTTAGCCAATGAGATACTTGAGCCTGCTGAGACATTCGAAAGAATGGTAGCTTTGGAGGAAGGCTTGCCTTCATTTGAATCCTGGCTTTACTGCGTTCAAGCTATACGCCCTCAGGGAACCTCTCTGAGCCTATGTCATCATCTTTAACATAGAAAAAACCAGCTTCTCTTTAGAATTCTGAGGATCACAAATATTGTATGTAAAGTGCCTAGCATAGAATAAGGCACAGAGTAGGCATTCTATTAACTAAATTAATAATTATTATGTCACTTACTAGTTAGTAATAATAACGGTTATGTTACTGAACCTCACTGAATCTTGGTTTCCATGTCTATACAACGGAAAAAGTTATATCTATTAATAGGGTGTTCTATAAATTCAACAAGATAATGTAAGAATGACCTATATTAAAGCTATAAAGTCAAATGCAAAGTTCTAGACTTGCCACTTATTAACTATAGGACTGTAAGTCTCTGAGTCTAAATTTCTTGAAGTGCCAAATATTGATGAACTCAAGGTTTTTTCCCGAGAAAATTAAATGTGAAAATAAGGAAAAAGGTAATACATTATACAATATCAAGAGTACTGCATATACACGGGGCCTTCAAAAAGTTTATTGAAAATGCAAATCATGAAAAAGCTATGCAAGGATTTAGGAATTTTTTTGCACCAAAATAAACTCATGCTTAAATTTCACTTTTTATGAACATTTTGAAGGTCCCTCACACACAGACTAGGACCAATCAGGAGACAGATTGGCCAAATAAGACTGAGGTTCTGACAACTCTTAGGTTGTCAGAAAAGTCATGTATATTTTCTATGCAAAAATGCATCATAACTTTTCTGACAACGCAATATATGGTATAAAAAATATGCCAGGCACTTTCTTTCATTGTCAGATACAAAAGCAGTAACGATATACTACATTTCAAACTATGGTAATATTAATTTTGCTGTGTGCATACAGTGATGACAACATTTTGGCTCTTATGACAGGACACTAAAGCACCCATAACGAACTCTCCACACCTACCCTCTGCAGCATGGACTCCGACCAGGCGTACCCGTTGTGCTCCACAGCCCAGCGCAGTACCGTTCCCATGATGCACAACATGACATCTGACTGCAGGATGTTAACCAGGCTTGCAAACAAAGGGCAGAATGGAGGCAGGACTGGAGGCGGAAGTGCTGCAAACAGAGTTATTACCGGGTCTTTACAGAGCATGCTTCAACCATTATCCCTTTGTCAGATACTTTCCATATTCTTCACTCAAAGAAGACTCATTAACACATCTCTCAAAGCTGTATTTCACCTCATTGTGAGCCAAGTGCATTAAAACAGCAACATAAGCAGCAGCAGTACAAAGGAAAGCCTTTTTTTCTCTAGAAATGTTTTAAGATCTGAGATAGAATCATTAATCCAGAGGTGAGTCAATTAAGACAATTTTTGTACTAGCACATTTATTATTTCTTTGAATAGGAAAACGTTCAGCTTGAAAGCTTACATTTAAATCTTTCATTCCACCATTATACTTAAAAAGAAATATATATATATTTTTTTGGAAAATTTGCTATAGGTGAATGTGCACTAGAGAGACAGAGAGAAAGAGAAAGAGGAAAAGTGAGAAAGTCTTTCCCAGGGAGGAGTGCCGTGTCACCACCACGTCTCCTTTATTCTCCTTTCAGGATTCTGGCCATCCGCAAACATGTGCCTGGGCTGTTTTTCAAGCCACTAGAGGTGCGGGACTTGAACCACTCAATAGGCCATGTGGGATCCAGCCTCTTTAACCACCATGCCACGGGCTGCCCAACAATGTTCAACAAGTAAATAAAAGGCACTGACATTAGATTTTTTTCAGAAAGATGAAAAATACCTGTATCTTCTCTATTCTGTCTTTTCAATTTCCGTTGAGCTTCTTCTGCCTAATAAAAAGAAAGTAATTTGGAGAACGAATTAGTAATACAAAGCAACTTAATACCCAAACTAGCGACATAAGTCAATCTTTGCTACACCATCTTCTGATTTTAGAGTTTTACCTTACTGTTGTAGTTCCTCCCCAGATTGGCATATCAAGGCTACCTTTTTTTCCATCACAAGACTTCTCAAATGAGTTCTATGCTTCTTGGTTTTTTTTTTTTTTTTTTTAAAGTAATGCACTGCTTGAGAGAAGTTGGATCCCTCAAGGTAACTACAGTTCAAATCTCCAGCAGGTCAGCCTGAATAAGCAGGACATGCACACGAGCGTCCAGTATCCAAGGGCTGAAGTACAAGGGAGGTGGGCTGTGGCATGATCAGACCCTGTGGAGGGTACTCATTTCTCTTTCTCTGTCTCACACGTGTGTGCCTGTGCTCTACTAAAGAAAGAAAAAGAAAACAAACCAAAGCCAAAAAACTTTATTTAGGTTTGAGTTCTATGACATGCATTGAAAGCTAAATAAAAGCTTCACGCTTGGGCAGGCTCTGTGGATGAACAGTTAAGGGAGCTGAACCCATATGGCTGCTGCAGTTGGAATCTCAAACCCGGTGGCTTGAAAATATGCTGGGTTGGGAACCAGCAGTTAGCGTAATGGCTATGTTGCTGGACTCCCACGTAGTCGAATGCCGGTCAC